TGGGGATGAGTTATGGTCGAGGGTGAGGGCAGATGATGTGGTCTCCTTCTTACATTCTGCTTCTTCTTTGTCTTCTTTGTTCTGGTGGTTGTTTCTATCGTCATCTGCTTGGCAAAAGGCGACGGTCGGGAGTGGCCCCACCAGCTTCAAACCCCGCAGATTGCGGGAGGTCTTGAGATTTTACTTTCCTGATCCACTCTCAAGGAAATTCGGTTTTGAAGCGTGAGATGTGCTCAGGTTTCTTCAGGGAGTGTGCAGATGCCGTTTCAGTCCACTCTACGCCAAAGCAAGCCCCTGACTCTGAACGATGCCGTCGTGCTGTTTTGCCGGTGTTGCTTGACTTGAAGGGAGCCAGCCCAGCCCTGTCATGCACTTTGACGTCTTCTTATGCTTAAAGGCTTATCAGCTCTGCTCGGCCTGTGGTGGAGTGTCAATCTGATATCTGCTTTCTCATTTGTCCCAGATAGGTTTAGACCATTCCCTGTTTTCCCTGAAGCTCCCCTGGGTGCACGCGCCAGCTTCACTCCAAGAGCTACACTCTCTCCCATGCGCGGATCAGACCATCGAGGCTCCACGATCATGCCAGCCATGACAACACGAGACGTAGCATCACCTGACCAGGGGCAAGGTTGTTACCAGTACTACGGTGCCTGCAGGCCGGTAAACGCCATGAGCAAGAAGGGCGGTTGTTTTCCATACCTCTCGCGCATTCGCTCAGGCTTGTCTGCTGCAACTTCTTAAAACTGCAATGCCCCCACAGGATTCAGTTCCGTCCCTCTGCTCTGACCATCCCATTATTAACAGGTGTTGAATGGTAGGTGAGATGACCCGTTGTTATAAGTTATAACCTAGGGTTGCATTTGACACCCGCATGACAATGACATCTGTGTCCATATGGATCTCGACAGCAACTTCTCAAGATCTTACAGGCCCTAGGCACTGAAGGCCAATACCATAAAACCAAAACGTGGTGTTGCAGCAGACCATTGGCAACTCCCAGGGCCGACCTCCGCAGAAGCCACAAGATTTCAGGGCCGAGCCCTCGGCCCTACGCCCCAAACCCCACTCCCGCCCTCCCTCCTCTGCAAAAGGCCCCTCACGCCCTGTTCCTGGAGGCACTTCGTCACCTTGGCAGCGATCGCTGCCTCACCGCCAGCAAGGCCCGGCTCCATGGGACTTCGGCCCGGAAATGTTGAAGGTTTTAGGGGTTTTGGGGTTTACAGTTTTAGGGGTTTGAGGGGCTTGGGGGGTTAAGGGTGTTGGGGGCAATTTTGGCCTTCATGACACACACACACACACACTCTCTCTTTCTATCTCTCTCTCTCTCTCTCTCTCTCTCTGTGAGAAGGTGTGTGTGTGTGTGTATGAGTGTGCCATTAGGTTGAAAAGCAGGGTTGGCTTCCATCTTCGGAAGTTTCACTCTTTTTGAGAGTCGGGGTTGTGACCCTTGCATCCGAGGCGCAGCACAAAGCCAGCGCTAAGACTGATCAATGCCTTGACAGCCACAGCCCTTTGCTTTAAGCATGAAGGCAACTTCGAAGTTTGCAGGTGTAGACGAACCTTTAAGCAAAAGTGTAGGGAGCCCAAAATCTTTCGTCCACAGCTCGGCGAGGATGGCCATGTCCGAGCAGTATCTCTTCCATCGCCCAAGGTGCATTTGGCCATGGGCACTTCGATCTAGAGTATGACACCGCGATACTGCTTATGCCTTTGCTGTCGTTGTCGTTAACCTTGTTCTTATCATTGGCGCTATGATTGTACCTGCTTTGCATGCGGTGTCTTGCTGCATGCCGCTTGGAAGCACGGCCTTCTCCGGCCAGTGAGTACTGTGTGTATGTCTGGTAGTAGTGTACTTATTGTCGCTCCTCTTCTTGCTGCTTATGTCTTCAGTGTCACTGGTTATGGTAGTCTTATTGTCAGTATTCGTGTTCCACCTGCGGTGATCGACGACCTGCGTTTGGCTCGCATCGGAATATTTTTTGAACATGATGCGCTTGCTTGCCCAGAGAGCCCAAGACTCAATGCATCATATGCAGGATCCCACTACCTCAAGTACAGTGCTCTCAGTGCTTTCTATTCGAAATGCATTGGGCTCCCTTTCTCGAGGATTCGATTCCAGGATATCGGGCTGCCATAAGTCCGAGCCCTGCAGGTAGTGCTCGAGCGCCGCAGCACCAAAATCGGAGCTGCGGGGTACACTGCGCCCGAAGCTGAGAAAGAGCTATTTTAAAATCGATACTCCCAGCCTCAACCTTGACCTGAACCTTGCACTCTACACTCCATGCACCCATACACCCTTTACCGCACGCTTGAACATCCTCATAAACGCTGGGCCTTTATGTCCTTGAGCCCCTTGAGGTTGGGTGTGTCTGAAACGGGAGCGGCTCTGTGCGCTTGGGTGGGGCCGGAGGCCGTGGAGAGAGTTTTTTAGGGGTCTCAGAGTTTGGGGGGTCTACAGTTTAGGGCCTGGAGTTCAGGGGTTCGGATTCTGAGTTCAGGGTGTAGGGTGTGGGGTAGAATGGAAGCTAGCGGAGACTCGTGACGATTTAGGGCAAGCTGAGACAGCGGATTCTCGTGGTCATCAGTCCTCCAGTACTACCTGAAACTCTAACTCCGAAGCCGTAGTCGTTGTTCAAACTCAGTGTCAGAACTAAATGTGAAGTCATGAGCTGTTGGAAGACGCCAGCTACGCCCAATGGGGCCACAGGCCCCAACTTTTTGTCAACCCTGTGTCTAAACGCTAAACCTCGAGGCCAGCATCACTTATACTTTACCCATTAAATCCCAAGCCGTAAAATGGGTCCCGGGCACGGTATTCAATTTGGGATTCGGGCTCACCAGAGGGGTCTTGAGGCCTCCGAAGCAGCTCATGGTGGTAGTAGTAGTCCTAGAAGCAGCAGCGGGAGCAGAAGCTGCAATTTCAGCCTGCAGGCGATCACAATCCCAGCAGTACGGGTTGTCATGTTAGTCATACGCGATGGTCGTGGTCGTGGCAATCGCAGTGGCAGAGATAGCGGCAGTGATACCCTAAACCCCAAACCCTAAACCCTTCAACAACCAAAACCCTACACCCTAAACCCTATTTATGAGTAGTCGTCGTCGTCGCAGTAGTCGTTGGAGTAGAAGCGGCACTAAAGGTTTCTCTTTGCGACCGGTGATCTTGATGATACTGCTTCTACTGTTGTTCGCGGCTGTATAGATTCCATCTGTTTTCATAGCATTAAATTACATACTTTTGTAGTATATACTAGCAATCTACTTCTAGATACTATTACATACTTTCGTACACCACTCTAGTTCGTGGCGTGGCTTAGAGGTCTGGGAGACTGGGGAGATTTGGACACTCGACAGCACGGGCGTGACCGCAAAATGTATTGTTCCAAGGTGTAGTGTAGGAATCGGGCCCCGGCGTCTTGCGAGTTTCAGTGGACTGATGAGCGGGACGTTTAAACCCCAAGCCGGGACATCCAAGAAGCTTTACACCAACTGTGACTGGTCCTGTGGAGTGTTCCACCTTGCAGGGAGTGGGGCTGGAGCTGCTGGCCGGGCCCTGAAGACTGGTCGTAAGAATGCGGCCTATCGTCGTAGTGAAATCAGATCATTGACCCCCAAAGGCGAACAATCGAGGACAGGCATAGGCATGATCGTAAACATTGGCCAAAGTTGAGATGGACGAGCATCAGCACCCCATATCACCATCATTATGATCTTCGTCGCAACGGTCGTCATCGGCATCATATCCTCATCGCAATCGCCATTACCACCATTGTCATATTGTCATCGTCGTCCGCACCATCTCCATCATCTCATCACCATTTTCGTTGTCCCTGTCACCACCTTCAAAAAAATTATCGTCATCATCATATCGTGATTTTTCTTGACTTCTTCTTCACAGCCGCCACCAACTTCTGCTCAGCAAGAAGCTATCAACTTTGGATCCAGAGGGTCCGTGCTCCGAGGCATGGAAGGACCTACGCCTCGATCAGCAGCCAACAGTGCTGGCCACCACATGAGCCGCAAAAAAAAAGTTCCTTCTGCTTATGGGTACTTTATATGATCAGGCTGGTGCTGATTGATGATGTCGTGATGTGTGGCGGTTCCTCAGAGGCTCCTGCCTGAACAGGCCTTCGACAGAGCTGAATCCTCATGGACATTGAGAGTGAGAAACCAACCAGGGTCGCTCGGCCACCGCCTTCTCGTGTAGGATGTGAGACCCAGGGGCAGTGCCTCGGAAGCCCAGATCCCGGACCCCAAGCCCATTTGTTTGGGGTGGGGGATCCGGATGCGGACTCATGGACTAAAATTAGATTGTTGCCAGTGTTAGTCATACTGCAATCGACAAGACTCACTACTGCCGTGGCTATTGTGCCGTCTCATTACATGAAGACGAGGCTAGGATCAGAGACTATGTTAGCTACTTGCAAGGTCGCAGCACATTATGGCCATGGTAGAGTACATAAGAATATGCATCGTGTCACTGGAGGCGGTTCGAAAGGATCAAGGCAAGACATGCTTCCGTAAGATGGTCGGTGTCAGTCACTGTTAGTCCAAGGCAGGTGAGCAAAGCAGCATTGCACGATGACAGCAGGCTCTGCGAATACTGCAAAATCATGCTAACATAATCACCCAGCGCAGGTGAACTTCTTCGCAGAGTGGTGTGTGCACTGCTCGGCCCTTGAGTCCATGCCCTCTTGCATCAGCTCTGTAAAGCTGACAAAGTGCAAGGAGTAAATTTGCCAGTGAGAAGAAACTACGAGGACTGGATTTAGATTTGCAGAAACCACGCTCCCTGGCACCTCCCCACTTGAGCCATGTCGCACAGCACCGAATGCTAAGTTTGTTTTAAGGGCGTTCTGCAGCTGATGCTACTGAAACAGGCTACTGTGGGTCCGTTTCGGAGGTGCTTTTGGCTGGACGGCCTGTAACCCGACCAGAGCATCACAACAATCACCCAACAGATCCCCACACCCAGCCCGGCAAAAGGCCGGAAGTTTTCGCCGATGTGGAATGAAGCTGCGGGCAGGCACGTTTCGCCCAGCCTAGCTGCAGAGTATTCAGTCAGGAGCCGCCAGTCCTTCTCGAGCCCACAGGGAGAAAACACCTCCTCCGTCTCCTCCTCTTTTGTGCCGGGCTGGCTGCCAGTTGGCTCTTGAAGGTGTCCAGTGGAGACCCCCTTTAAAACAGATTCGACAGCTTGTTCGTGCCCAACCTCTGAACTCTGACGGCAGCGCAGGAAGCATGTTTGGGAGATTTGGGAGGTGTACGCAGCGCAGATTGAACCATTTTAGCTTCTTGCTTTTCGTCCCAGGTTTACATCAGAAAGCCACTAGTCTGCCCCCGCAAAGGGAGTCATGTTTCCACATGAGCCGACTGTGGCCTGTAGCAGAGTTCTCATCTGGCAGGATAAGTGAGAAGATGCAGTTCAAGGACGCCGACGGCAAAGAGGTGCCTCGTAGCCCTGGGGTCATGAAAGTAGCAGTGTAGCTTCGACCTCTTGAGCCGTCCCGCCTCGCATGTTATATGTCGAACCGGGACCGACAGACGACCGTCAAGTTCCTGAAGATGAACTGCGTGGACTTCCAGGGGAAGTGTCAGGAGGCCCCAGCAGCTTCAAGAATTCTGGTCTCTGTGTAATGTTTCTGACTCTTTCATTCATTGCTGTTGGAGCCACGAGCCGGAGCTTTCGCGTTTTGGGAAAAGGACCTTCCACGTTCTGATGGACAATTTGCTGCTTTAGGCGATGAGTCGACGCTTGCTTGGAGATCAACTCTGAGATGCGTCATGGAAGGGTGGGCGTAGGCTTCCCTTACACCTTACAGGGTAGGGGAACTAGAACAGCATTCATTTTCGCTCTGAGTGCAGGAACGAATCCAGGCATTTCCCACCATCCGCCTCTACAAGCGGGATGGGTGACTCGGCGTGCTTTCCAAGTCTGCATGAAACCCTCAATCAGGGCCCTTTTGTAATCACTGGCCATAGCTTCCTTGTGCCACACTCCACGATCCGGGGTAAGACTTTGTGAACTGCAGGACGGGTTTCAGCATTGGCTTCGATACACTGCTTCTAAAGTCTTGTAAGCAAAGACCTCTTCTGCCAGTTTGGCACCGTGAGCTGAGTGGCGGACTTTCGAACCAACCCAGGACGTTCGAGCAGTTTCAGAACAAGCGAAGTGAGCCTTGGTTCGCATCAGTGTGTCATTTTCAGGCGAACCCCCTGCCATGTGCCCTTGCAGTCATGGGCCCCTTTTGAACGAAGGTCGTAAACAATGCTGGGCCGGGGACATTCCCAAGTACTAAGTACTTACTCTGGGCTCCCGGCGGTCCTTCGTAGGATTTGCTTAGGGTTAGGTTTGTGAGCTTCGAAGCCCTGCAACTCGATCCGAGGTCGAGAACATTATTGAGTTCTTGACGAACACGGTGAGGCCCGGTAATCATCGCATCTCCTAGTTTTCATGATCAGTGTTCCTGCCTAACTCAGGCCTCCAGACCTCCCCCCACAACTGCTACCGTAGCCCCTCCTCTTAAACAGTAATGCCTACTGCGATTCTCCCTGCGACACTGTCCGGCCTGATCATACTCATTATCCTCCTCATCATTGTCTCCGTGCGTTGTATCATCTCGTCGTCATCATCATCACCTCAGACCTACCATCATCATCATCATCATCATTACTTCCCTAGACACACTCACACATCCCCTCGTCGAGTAAAATGCAGAAGCCAGAAGCTGATCTGGATTGCCGTTGTCGTCCTTGCGGCATGTGCTTGCTTATGTTTCAGGGATGTGAGGGTTACGGCTCAGGTCATGTCAGCTCGCTACTGGTAGTTGGCCTCTGCTTCCCGTTGCAACAACATGCAAAAGCCGTGTTTTGCAACACGAGCAATGATAGACGAGCATCCTGTTTTCTATCATGCGAAAGTATTGTCACAAGGCTCGAGCGACAGCAGGTTGAGG